ACCCAGGAGGCTGAGTCAAGAGGATCTCTATGAGTTCAAGGCTAGCTTGATCTACTTTGTAAGTTCCAGGACATCTAGACCTTGTCTCAAAAGAATAAACAAAATAAAAGCAATCCCAGCACTGGGAAGGCAGAGAGGAGGAGATCCCTGAAGCTCACTGGCACGTCAGACTAGCCAAATCAATAGTGAACTATAGGTTCAGTGAGAGAATGTCTCTAAAAAATTAAGGTGAAGAACAATTGAGGAAGATACTTATGTTTACCTCTGGCCTCTACACATATGCATGCACGCGCACACACACACACACACACACACACACACACACACACACACGCTGTGTGATTTGTTGTTACTATGCAGAAAACACAATTGGAAATCTTATGCTTTAAGTTTTGGCTTTATAAAAAGAACTAGTACCATACTTCGTTAACTCTAAACATTTGGCATTTTATATATAAACTTTACATATTAAGAATTACCTGGATTTTTTAAATCCTTACCTCCTTTCTCTTCAGGAGTTTGGGAAAGTTGATGTTATCCTGATTTTGATAAGATAGAAAAATGCTACACAGTTAAGATTAATGCATATATGTATCTTTCTCTAGTAATTTTACCTCAAACTTTGCTTGAAAGTCTCCCTTATGAAACCAACACTAGCCTTGAACTTGTTCCATAGCCCAGGGTGGCCTCAAAGTTGCCATGTACTTCAGTTTGGCCATGAACTCATGATCTTCTTGCCACAATACCCCAACTACCGATATTACAAGTAGGTATGCATTACCACAACTGACTTTGGGGAATCATTGTTTTTGTTTTGATTTTTAAGATAGGGTCTCATTATATAGCCCTCAGTGGCCTGGAACTCACTCTGTAGACCAGGCTGGCCTTGAACTCAGAGATCTGTCTGTCTCTGCCTCCTGTGAACTAGGATTAAAGGTGTGTGCCACCACATCTAGTTCATACTTTAACTCTAACTTTGTTCTTATTTTTGAGATAGGCTCTTGCTATATAACCTATACTAATATTGAACTCATATTGATCCTCCTGCCTCAGCCTCATGTTTTGGGACTACAGGTATGTGCCACCATGCCTGGCTGACACCTCTAACTTTAAAAAATATTATCAAGGGCTGGAGAGATGGCTCAGAGGTTAAGAGCACTGGCTGTTCTTCCAGAGGTCCTGAGTTCAATTCCCAGAAACCACATGGTGGCTTACAGCCATCTGTAATGAAAGTGCCCTCTTCTGGCATGCAGGCAGGACACTGTATACATAATCAATAAACAAATCTTAAAAATATTATCAAATCTACCTATGTCAACTCACCCCTTGAAAGATAATATTAAGAGTAAATTGTAGGTTGGTAAGGGTAAGACAGAGGGTAAAGGCAGTAACTCCCAAGTCTAACAATAGAGTTCAATGCCTGGAATATACATAGTAGAAGAGAACTGACTGCCACAAGTTGTCCTCTGACCTCTGCACCAGTACACACAACACGTGCATGCATGTCTACACAAAATAAATAAAATGTAATAAAATTTTTAGTTTTGGTTTTTTGATACAGGGTCTCACTATATAGCTCTGATTAGCTTAGAACTTGCTATGTAGACGAGGTTGGCCACTCAGAGATCCACCTGCCTCTGCCTCCTAAATCTAAGATTAAAGGCATGTGTTGCCATGTACATCTAAAAAATGTAATAATTTTATTTTGGTTTTTCGAGACAGGGTTTCTTTGTAGCTTTGGAGCCTGTCCCGGAACTTACTCTGTAGACCAAGCTAGACTCAAACTCATAGAAATCCACCTGCCTCTGCCTCCCGAGTGCTGGGATTAAAGGCATGAGACACCACCCAGCTAAATTTTTTAAAGAATAAACTGCTTCCAAGTTTAGAAAGTATTCTTGGCTGAATATAGCAGCACAAACCTTTTTAATCCCAGCCCTCAAGAGGCAGTGGACCTCTGAGTTAGGTCAGCTTAGTCTACATTTTCAATTTCAGTACAAGTGGGCTACATAATGAAACCCTGTCCCAGAAAAAGAAAGAAGGGGAAGGAAGGAAAGAATGGAGGAAGGAAAGGAGGAAGGAAGGAATGGAGGAAGGAAGGGAGGAAGGAAGGACTCTTGAGGTTTTAGTTCAAAGGAGAAACTTTATTTGCCCCCAGAATCCACAATGGGAGCAGTGAGAATTGTTATGTATCCTATAAACCCAGGAAGTCTCTACCTCTCATCAAACTCCTCTGTGGGTGGAACTCACATCCTTGGAGACATTCCCTGTCATCCCCTAATTTTCCCCAGCTCCCAAATCCTCATGTGCACTACTGTCCACACTTGTTCCCTCAATTCATTTTACACCTGGATCCTAATCAGATCAAAAAAGATACCAACAAAGAGCTTGACGCAGGTGCGGTAGCAGGAGGCTCTCCACAAATTCAAGGCTCACCTGGACCACATACTGGGACTCTAGGCTGATCAGGGCTACAAAATGATACCCTAGAAAGAGGAGAGGAAAAGAGGGAGGAGAGATGGAGGAGAGAGAGAGAGGATGGGTGTGGACTTAGGAGAAGTAAAGAACTTGAGACTGTCTGAGGTTTGGAGCTTCCTTGCTGGGTATTTCTTGGAAATGTATTATTATTGTATGTGTATGTGTGTTAAGTCATGCATGTGCGTGTGCAGGCACCCACATGCAATAGCACATGTGGGGAGATCAGAAGGCACCTTTCACCATTTGGTTCTCTATCATGGGTTCCAGGGATCGAACGCCACCAGCCTTGTGTAGCAACTGTCTTTATTCCTCAGCCATCTTTTTAGTTTCTTAGATTTTGATTCTCTCAGATTATTGACTATTCTGCTGAGGGAGACTAAAAATAAATCACAAGTCTACATTTTCAGGTAGGTTGGCTGTCACCCCAACATTCAGGAACCTAGGTAGGAGGATTTTTCCAAGTTTGAGGCCAATCTGAGTTATATCTAATGAGTTCGGAGTCATCCTGGGTCACAGTGAGAGAGCCTCAATCACAAAACCAATAAATAAGAACAATAAAATAAGAATAAATAGAAAGGTCTATACAGTCATTCCTTATCCTTTAATGTCAGCATGAGGGAGGGAGGTCCATTCAGGAAACTGGTGACTGTACCTAGCTTGGAAGATACTCAAATCCTTTATATAAAAAGGCATTGTAGTCATGTGGTAGTGCCCCATGCCTTTAATCCCAGCACTGGGGAAGCAGAGGCAGAGGCAGGTGGATCTCTTAGTTTGAGGCCAGCCTGGTCTGCAGAGTGAGTTCCAGGACAGCCGGGGACACAGAGAAACCCTATAGGGGAGGCACAGTATTTGCATATAACCTATACATATTCTATAACTATCCACCTCTAGATTATACTAAGTAAATGCTTTGTAAATGATTTCTACACTATCATTTAAGACAATCTATAGGGCTGGAGAGATGACTCAGCAGTTAAGAGCACTGACTACTCTTCCAGGGGACCTGGGTTCAATTCCCAGGACCCACAAGATAGCTCACAACTTACTGTAACTCCAGGATGCAACAGCCTCACATAGACATACATTTAGGCAAAACACCAACGCACTCAAAATAAAAATAAATAAAAAAGAAAATCTATAACCATTCAGTACAAATTTTTCTTTGTATCTTCAACTCACAATTATTAAATCCATGCATGCAGAATCTATGGATACAGTGAACTAACCATAGTGTCTTTTATTTACTTTTGAGGTTTTTTTTTTTAACTTCATTACTCGGTTGTGTAGGTTTTGAAATATTTCATGTGTGTGTGGGGGGGGTATGTGCATGTGAGTGCAAGTGCCCCACAGAGGCCACAAGAGTTGGATCCCCTGGATCTGGAGTTACAGGTGGCTGAGAGACACTTGATGTGGGTACTAGGAATCAAACTTGGCTCCTCTGGAAAAGCAGCACACAATTAAGCCTTGAGACATCTTTCAAGCTCCCATACTGTTTTTAAGTTCCCTTTTAGCAAAAGTTGTGGCTTGGTGGTAGGATGCCCTGCACGGCATGTGGCAGGCCCTGGGTTAGAGTATCCCCATCATTACAAACAAAAATACCCAACACTTTTGGGTCTGAGCATGGGGACTTGCACCTGTAATTGCAGCAGTGAAGAGGTCAACGCAAGATGGTCAGTATGAGGCCAGCCTGGGTCACATAACAAGACTATAAAAATATAAGGACCTATAATTTTAGAATTTTTTTCAATCTAGCCACACCCACTAAGTTTTTTGTCTTCTCCTTTACACATACTCTGATATGTAGTAGGGTAAACAACAGCAGAAACACTATGGTCACCAAGAAGCTCATTATGTAATCCAGACTGGTCTGGACTTTCTATGTAGCCTAGGTAGATCTTATACTTGCAATTCTCCTGCTTCAGTCTCCTGATCTCTAGACCTGTAGGAACAAGCCACTACACCTAGCTAGAATGTCTTTTTTTCTTTAAATCAATCTAGTCCAGGATGGCCTGTAATTCACTATGTAATCTAGATTGGCCTAGAAAACATGGCAATCCTTCTACTTCAGCTTCCCCAGTGCTGTGATTCAAAGTGTGTGAGCCATTGGACCCAGCTCAGAATGTCATTTCTTTTTTCTTTTTGTTCCTTTTATTCAGAGGGAGGGTTGCAAGACAGGGTTCCATGTAGCCCAGGCTGGCCTCCAATTCAGTATGTAGGTGAGGAGGGCCTAGAACTCCTGATCATCTGTTTTCACCCCCTAAGTGGTAGGATTACAGGCATTCACCACCATGCCCAGCTCAGGTCTTTCTCTTGAGAGAAATGAACAAGTCTATTTCTCAGCTATCTGTAAGCCACCCAACATGTAACTGGACATATAGGAAGTATTCATAAATTCCTGGTGGCTGTGAGGAACAGAATGCATATGCATGTGCTTGTTTTCACACATGTGCCAAAGACACAGCCAAGTGGGGGTGGGGTGGGGCTCAATCCACTCTTCCACGATGAGGTGAGAGATGACACTTATGTGAAACTGCAGAATATAAGGTTTATTTAGGGGAGCAGCAGCACATTTTGGACAGTTTTGCTTGTTCCCTCCTGCCGCTCAATGACAACACACAGTCAACCATATCCTGGTCTCTGAGGTTCTAAGGAGGTCACCAAGGGCCGGCCTAGAAACTCAACTGTCTGCTGTTCCTATTCCCCCATAGCTTCCTCCGCTTCCTCCGCTTCCTCCTCCTCCTCTTCCTCCTCCTCCTCTGTCCAGCTCAGGTCATCATCTGAACCCTCAGATTCTTCCTCATCCATCTCTAACAAAACCCCTGACCTAGCCTTCTCAGCTAGAGAATCAGGGTGCTCCAGCTGGGCCCAGGATCCTGGGTCAGCCTTGACCAGGGAGATTTCAACCCGTGATGGCATCAAGGAGACAGAGCTCTGCTCCACGTTTATGACCTAAGGAGGCGGGAAAGACAGAAAGAATGAAGAAATCACAGGCTTGGGATTAGAGTGGTGATGAATAGGAACAGAAAAAAAGGGGAAGGCAGAGGAATGCAATGGAGAAGGGCTGAGGAAGGAAGGGAGAGGGAAGAGGACAGGAAGGAGGGAAAACCAAGGCAGTTAAAGAGAAGTTCTCTATCTTCCCAGGGCAACTCTTCAGGATCCCTCTACCGACTGGCCCTCCTCTTACCTATCTACCTCCCTTGCCGCTGCCCATTGCTCTTCACTTACCCCCCAGAGCTTCATTTGTGCTTGGAACACACGGTTACCATCAAAGACAGCGTGGACATGAAGCTGAGACGAAAGAATTAGAAGGGTAGTATCAATTCCCGAAGGTCAGAAAGACGCACTACTATAGAACCAGGTCAGAGGCAAGATCCACAGGCAGCCAACCCTGATGTAATAACTTTCCATTCCTCTCAGGGGACTGCGGAACCTAAAGAGTGGCAGTGTAAGCTGGGCGTTGGTGGCGCACGCCTTTAATCCCAGCACTCAAGAGACAGAGGATGGAGGAGCTCTGTGAGTTTGAGGCCAGCCTGGTCTACAGAGTGAGTTCCAGGACAGCCTCCAAAGCCACAGAGAAACCCTGTCTTGAAAAACCAAAAAAACCCAGAATGACAGCATACAGCATTTCTCCCTGTAAGACTGTACTCCATCAGAGTTCACTCAGCCCCTACCCTGCCTCAAATCATTTCTCACCTCAGTTTGACTGGCTTTCACCCAGTTGAATGCAGGAAGTGGGATCTGGCCATATACAGTCAGCACTACCAAGGAATCTGTTTGGTGCCAATCATGGCGGCAAGATGCTGGCAGCTGTAGAAATGTGACATGAGGATGGTAAAAGTCAACTCTTCACTCAGGAGGAGTTTCACAGGATATAAAAGACATAAGAAACCTCAGAAAGATGAATTCTTTCACATGGCCAAGACTCTGGGCTATAAGAAAGCTAAAGCACAGAATCTTACTTGATTTTATCAGCCCAGGTACTAGGAGAGCATATCTCTGTAATTGGGACCTAACCAACTGTTTAGGAAAGGGGGCCTTACCTGCTTTGCCCAGTCGTGTCTACCAACTCTGCATCCTGGCTGTGCCAGGAATGCTCCAAAATCCAGAGTCTGGATACCACAACAGCTCCAAGACTTCATCCTGGGGGAGGAAGATAATTCATTTGAATCCCACTCCCAAGCCCTTACTCTCATTCATATTGGGAGAAGCCTGCCCAGTACCTTCTCTTACCCCTCATGGAACCGAGGTGCCCCGGGGTGGTAAGTACATGGAGCAGCATCACTCTCAGGACCTTGGTAAACCTAAGGTCAAAGGGGAATCAGGTCATTCAAATTCATGCCTGTACCCAGACATCCCTCAGGTATCTCTCAGCCACATGCTTGAGCCCCCCACAAACTCTCACTCACAGCATCACATCCTGGGTTCTGGCAGCTGGAACCAGTCCAGATCAGACTACTGTCAAGTCCTGGGCAAAGGAAACAGTCAGGAACCTTTCTATTCCCCCCACCCTACTACCACTTATATGAAATTCCAGTCTTTGAGACCAGTCCTATAACCCACCTACCTGCTCCAGGTTCCTGATCTAGTTCCTTCTGTTCCAATGCCACTCCCAGGGCTTGAGATATAATAAGTGGCAGCAGTTTTGGAGGCATCTCTGACCTAGAGGTTATAAGCAGGCATTTAGAGCTGATGCATTTATCAGAATTACCAGCTCTAGCACCCCTACCCACAGTTGGTCTAAGTAGTCAGGGTCAGAGAAGGCCCAGGGCTTCCTTCACACTGGGTTGTTTCTAATCTTCCCACCTTTCTCTGCAGAACTATATCACTTCCTCTTCCTCTATTTGATTGTGGATCTAATGTTTTCTTGCTTGTATTATTCTCTGCAGTCTCCGGCTAATACTACTTCCTGTGATGTAAGGTAGCTTTTTGGTTTTTGTTTGTTTTTTGAGACACAGCTTCTTTGTATAGTCTTGGCTGTATTGGAACTCATTCTGTAGATCATGCTGACCTCGAGCTCATACAGATCTGCCTCTCAAGTGCTGGAATTAAAGGTGTGCTCCGCCTGGCAAAATGTAGCTTCTTAGGGGGCTGGAGAGAATGCGTAGCCTGGGGGGACCATATTGCTCTTGAAGACTTGGGTTCAGTTCCCAGCACCTATACCAGGTGGCTCACAACCACCTGTAACCACACACATATATAGAAAAATATAATTTTCTGGGCAGTAGTGGCACATGACTTTAATCGCAGCACTTGGGAAGCAGAGGCAGGTGGATCTTTGTGAGTTTGAGACCAGCCTGGTCTACAAAAGCTAGTTCTAGGACAGCATCCAAAGCCACAAAGAAACCCTGTCTCAAAAAACCAAAAAAAAAATGTAATTCCTGGCTAGTCAGGGTTATCCTATTTCAAAAAATTCAAATAAAACATTGAGCTTTTGTTTTGAATTTTTAGTCATATTACTAGTTTAATGTAGGGAAGAAGGGCATGTATACTACATACAAATAAAGCACATGTACGGACAACTTGGTAGAGTCACTTTCTCTGTTTGCATCTTTATGTAAGTTTCAGGACTCAAACTCAGCTAGTATTATGTAGGAATTACCTTTTCCTGTTAAAGCATATTACTGGCTCTTTTTGTGATGTTTTGAGACAGGGTATTACTTGGTAACCATGACTAACCTGGAACTCGATGTATAGAACAGACTAGGCTCAGACCTGTGGTGGGTGATCCTGCTGCCTCTGCCTCCTAAGTGTTGAGATCTACAGATCAACAACATGTCTAGCAATTTAAGATTCATTGTTTTATTTTCTGTAGTCTAGGCCAGCCCAATATCAACAGACTCAACATTTTAAGTATTGGGATTATAGGAATGAGCCAACAAAAACTGTAGTAGCTGTAAGATAAAGTTCTTCCAAAACCAAAAAGATCAATAGAGGTGTGTTGGTGTGGGGGAGGCATGAACAAGGTACAATGATACATGTATGAAATAACACATTCTCAAGTAGGTGTGGTAGTGTACACTTGTAATGACAGCCTTCATGAAGTTAAGGTTGGAGGATCGAGTTCAAGACTGGGCCACACAGAACCTATCTCAACAAAATCAAAACACAGGTTATGTAGCTACTACTCTGCCATATACTATGTATTTGAGGAGCTATCTATTCCATCATCCTTATACTGTCTTATAGCAAAGGGCATTTATTTTTTTGTTTTTTTTTAGACAGGGCTTCTGTGCTAACAGCCATGGATAGCCTTGAACTCATATTGTGCTGGGACCACAAATGACATTTTTTGACAGAAATTTCCCCTATGACAAAAGATGCATCATGCAAACCAACCCATGACCCTCCTCATATCTCTAACCCCTAGTTTCCAAACCCCAGTGAGTCATTAATTCCTAGGAAGCTACATAGATATAGAAAAAAGTCCTGGGTTTCTTTACTTAGGCCTTTCTCGGAGCAAGGTCTCTGCTGACTTTGGAATTGTATTCAGAGGTTTTTGCTCCTGAAGTGAACTTGTGGCAGGGCCCTCAGGCTGAGGGACCTCAGGAAGCTTCTCAGCACAGTGTGGTCCTATAGTACAGCCCTAGTACAGATAAGGAAATAAGGATTAGAAGGAGAACTCTTCCATAGGGTGCAGAATCCAAGCAAGCAAATGTTTACCTCGATGTTTAAGAACTCAGAGAAATCTACAGTTCGTTTTCGGCAACAGGACCAACCCTGATAACAAAAGACCCTGATGAGCTTAGATTTCCTAGGTACATTTCCTTGGGGGAGATACTCTTGCTAGGCCATCACCTATTCCTCACCTTAAGTGCATCATGGAAGATTGGGACACCAGGGTGATAGTGACAGGAATCTGTAAATACCAGCAGAAAGATCAAGGTAGGAAAGACAACTGTCAAATATCCCTCATATTTTCTTCAGGTTTACGTTAATGGCTTTTCTTACAATGTGGAAAGTAAACCAGCAGACTAATTTATGCCCATTTTTTCTCCTCCCTGTTCCCAATGACCAGCCCACGGCTGAACAACACACACTCAGAGCCCCTGAGGACAGTACTCACCAGGGAGATTGGTATTGGGGTCAAAGTGTTGCCCACAGCCTTTGTTATGGCAGAGCAGAGACATGGAGGCGTTGGTTGAGCTTACTCAAAGGGTATTTCAAGGAGTCTGGCTGCAGAGTGGGGAACACCTCTTAGTCTGGAGGCTTTTAGCTGCTTAGAAGGGCCAGCTGTTTCTATCTTTAGTTCAGGAGGCGTCCACCTCCAAACATGGGCAAGGGAACTTCAATTGGGCTTACCAGCCAATAGGAAAGTGCTCCAGAGTATTTTAGCTCGGAGGCTCAGGAAAAAAGGATCAGGAAGAAGAGCCCTTGGAACTTGGGTGAGGTCAGTAACTACAGCAGTTTTAGATGTTGCCAATTCCAAGCCTCTGACATACCAGCAGCTGCTCAGAAACAAAATACTAATAAAGATCCCCCTCCCTGTGTGGTATGGATACAACCCCTCCATTTTCTGCCATTTGGAATAGCTTGCCTGCCACTACCTGCAGTGTCAACAGCATTAACACTAGCCACTCTTCCTTGCGTCGAACCCTCTCCTGCCCATGTTTGCCGGTTTAATATTTCAAAAGGTGACGAAGATCTACTATAGGCATCTCCCAAGACCCTCCCTTCCCCTTCCAAAAAAACAGCACAGAAAACTAAAAGGCTTCAAATGTATTTTAATAAGGTGATGCTGCATTACTGCTCCATTTCTCAGAAAAATTTCAAATTGAAGGTATCAGGAACAAATCAAACATAGTACACCAATAAAAAAATGCACAGCGTAACTACCTAAGATAGGCAAGGCTAAGAGCTACTGTTAGCCTTCAACATACAGCAACCCTGTTCCCAAGATTGTACTAGGCCTATCAAGAAAAGCTGTGGACAGCAATATCATAGACACAAAAGGTCATTCATTCTTGAGTAGTCCTTACCCAAGAAAAAGATGGGAGGCAAGTTAACACAAGACTTTTTTTTTTAAAGATAGACTAAAATGAAAAACCTCTAAGAGAAAATGTCTTCCTTAGGACATTAAGGGGTTATATATGAGATATAACAGAACCGTACGTATGCTGTAACCTCTGTGGACATTTGTCTGAATTCTCACCTGGGAGTGAATGGAGGAATTGGGCTAGGTCATTGGAGGATGTATAAGTTTTGTGGTATATATGGCAGTGTCTCTGGGGTTGAGGAGAACCAAGAAGAAATAAGTACTCAAAACATGATGGAGGGCCGGGCGTTGGTGGCGCACGCCTTTAATCCCAGCCCTCCGGAGGCAGAGGCAGGCGGATCTCTGTGAGTTCGAGGCCAACCTGGTCTACAAGAGCTAGTTCCAGGACAGCCTCCAAAGCCACAGAGAAACCCTGTCTCGAAAAACCAAAAAAAAAAAAAAAAAACATGATGGAGGGAGGGAGGGAGAGAAGGAAGGAAGGGAGGGAGGGAGGGAGGGAGGGAGGGAGGGAGGGAGGGAGGGAGGGAGGGAGGGAGGGAGGGAGGGAGGGAGGGAGGGAGGGAGGACCAAGATTAATGGAGCTTTGAGTTTGTTTTGCTATGGTTCTCCAGGCCTTCAACAATCGACACACTTCAGGAATGCACCAGACAGACTTGATAAAGCCAATATACCACACTTTGATTTGTTAAATACCACCCCTCCCTTACCCTCTGCCCCCAAGCATACTCCCTAGAGTAGTACAGGCAGGGAGGACCTATCTACTGGGAAGAACCCTAACACTTTTCCAGGGTAGAATTCTGGCTAGTCCAAAAAGGGCCTTTCTTTTAAGGGTTGCGGGAAACTAAACACTGCAACTTTATTTAGTATCGGCGGCGTTTATTTGGAGCGAATTCAGCTCCAGGAGCTGGACGGTTGAATGCAGGAGGAGTTCCACCAATTGCTCCAATTCCTTCCATTGTAGCAGCTTGGCCAAAACGTTCAGTTGTTGGCGGGGTCTTAAAAGAAAGAGAACAAAGTTACAATAGAGTCACTGTCCTCAGATTGCCACTCATCTATGGTCTTCCCACTACAGGCCATTTCTACTTAACTATTCAAGACTCCTGACTGCTAAGGGCAAGACAACAGTCTGTTTAGAGTTCTAGTGTAGAGCCCTGAGAGGAAGGCTGTATCAGTTACAGCTTCATTCTTTACATACAATTGAAATTCCTATTTGGATTGGTTCTATCCAAGTCCTTTCCCCTGAGTCAGGAAGTACAGGCTATCATTTCTCTAGCAACCTTAAGTGTGTCCAGTTTTGGAGTATTCTATTTTGATATTCAAACCAGGACAATTTCTGGACTTTATGTACCACAAGGCCCTTGGATTCACATAAGTTATATGTCATAATTCTAAGTTTCCTTAACTTTCCCCTCTAAATAAAAACCTGCGGGGAGGCTGGAGAGATGGCTCAGAGGTTAAGAGCACTGACTGCACTTCCAGAGGTCCTGACTTCAATTTCCAGTAACTACATGGTGGCTCACAACTATCTACAATTCAATCTGGTGCCCTCTTCTGGCAGGTAGGCAGAACACTGTATATGTAATAAATAAATAAATCTCAAAAAATTGACTGTAGACAAACCTGTAGGCATTTAAAAAAAGAAAAACCTGCTGGACAGGGAATGTGGTACATGCATTTGGAAGGTAGATGCAGGAGCATCTCTGAGTTTGAGGCCATTCTTGTCTACGTAGCAAGCTCCAGGACAATTAGGATTACAGACCCCATCTCAAAAAACAAAAACCACGAAACAAAAAGCAGCTTGTTTACTGAGGATAACAACTACAGTCAATTAATCTGACAGACAGAAGCTATTGTTTAACTTCAAGTTTAAAATGAATATGGCATTGAATCTTCTCAAGATTACAAACTAAGCTGGGTGGTGGTGTTGGACACCTCTAATCCCAGCACTTGGGAGGCAGAGACAGGCGCATCTCTGGGAGTTTGAGACCAGCCATGTCTACAGAGTGAGTTCCAGGACACCTAGGGCGTAACAGCCCTATCTTGAAAAAACAGAAACAAGAGATTACAAACTAGCCAGGTGTTGGTGGTGCACGCCTTTAATCCCAGCACTCGAGAGGCAGAGGCAGGCGGATCTCTGTGATTTCAAGGCCAGCCTGGTCTACAGAGCGAGTTCCAGGACAACCTCTAAAGCAATACAGAGAAACCCTGTCTCAATAAACAAAAAAAGATTACAAACTAAAAGATCAGGGGCACGAAATAGTAAGACAATACTTGCTTAACATAAATCAGATCCTGGGCTTCAATCATCCTTACTACTACCCCCAAACATTTAGGTTACATTATACCAATAACCCTAGAAATTGGCACCTGTAACAAAATCAAAGTAAACTAAAGTAGTGGATGCTGAGCAGATAGCTTAATCGGGTAAAGTATTTGTCCTGCAAGTTTGAGGGCTAGACTTTAATTCCCCCAGCATTCAATGTTAAGCACCAGTCAACCTAGCCTAATTGGTAAATTCTAGGTCATGGATGGTAACAAGCAGTTGACTTCTAGCCACATTTACATGTACACACACACACACACCTCTGTATCCACAAAAATTAGACCCTGGAGGTTGAGAAGCTTCTCCTATAAGTATTTACAATTATTACGAGGCCCTGCGGTTTATTACCAATCCCAAAGTTCCATCTGGCATCATAGTGGCAGGTCCTGGAGGAGCTGGGGTACCAGTTGGCACAGGAGCAGGAGGCATGGCGCCTCTATTGTTTATGCCCATAGCACCTAAAGCAGAGTAGTATGATCAGTATAGGGGAAAGAGTTAATCAGTCTCTTCCCCTACCAAGAAACAATTCAGTAGGATCTATAGACTAAGATGTATCAATCTCCTATTTCCAAGCCTAAAAACACTAATGTTTCTGGAAATGTCAAGTCATTTAAATGTGAACTAGGTAGAAGTTCCAGAACTCACTAGAGATCCTTTTTTTTTTTTTAAGAACAAAAAGAAATTAGGCTCTGCACGTATGAGGATCTGAGTTTAAATCTCAGGTTCACACATTAAAAAACACGCACGCACGAGTGCACGCGGGCACACACACATACACACAAAAACAAAAACAAGGCGTAGTAATACACGCCCTCAATCCCAGCACTTGGTGGATCACTGTGACTAGAATATCAGCCTGGTCTACACACTGAGTTCTAGGACAGCAATAAGCCAGAGTTACATAGTAGGATCCGGGAGGGAGGAAGGGGGAGGGAGGGAGAGGAAAAGGAAGAGGAAGGGGAGGGAAGGAGGGAGGGAGAAGGGGAGAGAGAGAGGCAGAAAAGAGCCAGGCAGGGCTTTGTGAGGCAGAGACAGGCAGATCATAGTAACACAGACAGGTAGTTCTTTTGGTTACCTACTGCTCTTTTCTATAACTACCCTTCCCTGCCCCCTAAATGGCAACCAGAACTATTTAACTCTTAAGTCCTTACCTCCCATAGCCATTTGGCCCATCCGTATCTCTTGTTCTCTCTGAAAAACAATACATATTTAATATTGTCCAAGACAACAGTCACTTTATAATCCACTGACGGCAACACAAACTGATGACATACTAAGCTCTCTTACCACCACTGAAGTACAGTGACTTCAGGCAACAAATTAGAATTTTCTATTAGGAACAAAAAGAGGCAATAGGAAGAAGAAAGAGCTAATTTCCTTTTGGGGCTACACAGGTAACACTGGATTAGCCAAAGTCTGCTATAGGACTTAATTTCTTATTGTCACTGGATATAAACAACAAACAGTTGTGTTGGCTTTTCATCCTAAATTTGCTTTAAGGCAAGAGCTCTCCTTCAAACCTTACCTTACCTCCCTATCAACATCTTTTTCCCTTAAAAGGAATTTTATAGCACAGAAAAACTGGCCTGGCACATCATAGGCACATGGGAGATATACCGCATCAGGGAAGGTTCCCTTGAATCCTTCTTGCTGTCGCCGCATCATTTCTTCTTGTTGTCGCCTCATTTCTTCCTCACGGCGCCTGCGCTCCTCTTCCTGCCTATAGAATCATCAAGGTATTCTAAGTTAAAGGCATTCCATAACAAACAGACCACTTGAACAAGAACATTAAGGCAAAGAGACAAGCCTACTGAAAACCAGCACAACTTGCCAACTACTAGGACAACACCCAAAGAAATCAAGAGATCTACACTCAGCTCTTTCCCTTTAGCAAAGCCCTAAGGCAATTCCTAGAACCAAATGCAACTAAAACGTCTATCCAGAGGGAGAATCTGAGAAGCAGCAGAAATACTTGCCAGTTTTTACAATATATATCAGGAAGAGTGGTGGTGACAAGGTAAAAAAAAATCAATACTCTTTTAGTTGTCAGAAAAAAAGGTTAAAGAAAGGGAGTTACAAGGCTGGTGAGATGGCTCAGTGGTTAAAGGTGCTTACCACCAAGGTTGATGACCAGCTCAATTCCATTCCTAGGACCACACATGGTGTGGAGGAGGGAATTGATTCTGAAAATTGTCCTATGGCCTCTATACATGGCAGCATGTGCCCAGGCCCCAAACAAATAAATGTTAAAAAGAAAAGGGGGGGCTGGGCGTTGGTGGCGCACGCCTTTAATCCCAGCACTTGGGAGGCAGAGGCAGGCAGATCTCTGTGAGTTCGAGGCCAGCCTGGTCTACAAGAGCTAGTTCCAGGACAGCCTCTAAAGCCAGAGAAACCCTGTCTCGAAAAAACAAAACAAACAAACAAACAAACAAAAAAAACAAAAACAAAAAAAAAGAAAGAAAAGGGGGGAAAAGGCAGTTACCTGAGCTCTAGTTGCTTTCGTTTCTGAACCTCTTGGTTATGCAGTTCCTCCATTCTCCGAAGCTCTTCTTGACGCCTCATCAAATCTATCAACAGATTGAGACTTTGATTTTATCTTCATATACACAATCATTTTCCATAAATAGCTATAAAAAAATTGTTGATGACCAGACACAAGCTAGAGTCATTTTAGAAGGAACAACAACAAAAAAGGGGAAACTCAATCGAGACTGGTTGTTAGACAAGCCTATGGTACATTTTTCTTGAACGATATGGAGTGGCCTAGCTCATGGTGGGTGAGCCAAGCGAGTGCCACACGCCTTTAATCCTAGCACTCAGGAGGCACAGGCAGGTGGATCTGAGTTCAAGACCATCTTGGTCTACAGAACTAGTTCCAGGACAGCCAGGATTTCACAGAGAAACCATGCCTCAAACAAACAATCAATCAATCACCGGCCCCCCAAAAAACAAAAAGAAAGCAGGATGGACAAGCCATGAGGAGCAACCTAATAAACAACACTCTCCATCAGTTCTTGCCTCCAAGTCTCTGCCCGACTTAAATTCCTGCCCTGTCTTCCCTCAATGAACTGTTATCTGTAATTTTGAGACAAAATAAACCCTTTCCTTCCTCAAGTTGCTTTTGATCATGGTGTTTTATCACAGTAATAGAAGCCTTAACTAAGACAGTATATAATCCAAGTGAACGCAAACCTTATCGTTTCCTTCTTCATAGAAACCATCCAGTAAACTATACTCCAAATCCATCCCCTATCAGAATTAACAAAGCATTTCAGAGATCAAAAGCAGGAATTTGTCTTTTTCTACTGCGGGACAAAGAAATTACTGAACAAAAAAATGTCATTTGATACTTATCTAGTTTTACAACTTACAGGCCTATACTCACCCTGCCTCATTAGCATAACCTGGTGCTCATGGCGTGCTGCCTCCATCTCCATCTCCAGTTTCTCACGAGCCTCCTTGATGTTGCGGTCCACTTGATCCTGCTGTTGTTTCTCCATCTCAATGAGTGCCTTCCAGCGCATGGCATACTCATATTCAAAGGACCCAGGCTGTGCAAATCTGGGTGGCTGTTCTCGCTCCCTATGTACAATAAATGTTATGTATGACATTACTTACTTTGTCCAAGATTTCTTAGACCCATTCTTTTCTAAGTGAACACATATATGTGTATATGTATATATGTGCATGCATGTGTACACACGCGCACACACACATACACACACACAGCAAAGACATGCCTCTTTTAAAACACCCCTTTAAATTTCCAGAACAGGAAAGTAACTAGAGGATGGAGGTGTAGTCAAATATATTAAGGTACTGGGTTCAACTGCCAATGCCCTATACCCTGCCACCACTACCATCATAGAAATGCATGAGTCAATCTATCTGGACCACATACTTGTGAAATTGCTGGTTTTTTATAACCAGCTTCTCTGGAAGTCCCTCTTCATCATCTAACTGGTCCATAGGCTCCACAGTCACAGGCCGAGGAAATCTAGGTGAAAGAAGGAAATTAAGTGTTAAGAAAGCCATACCCCAACAACCATGCCTGAAACTGGCATGATGAACTAACTAGGGATAAGAACCTCACAACTGGACAACTGCAACATTCATGACAGGAATGGAAATTTGGAAAGGACTCAAACTATAACCTGGGCTGGTCTCAAGCTAATGGCATGCCCCTCCAGCCTTAGCCTTCCAAGGGCTGGGATTATAGATGTGAATGACCACATCTAAACATATTTCTGAAGAGATTTTTATATCTAACCCCAAATAACTGACCCCCTCTTACTGGCATTATGGATAATTTGGGGTTAACAGTCCAGGTTTCAGATCTCTCAAAAAGGTTAAACGCCAGTAGGTAGAGTACTCTGTGTAACAGCTCAGGCCATCCTGGAACTCGCTTTGTAGGCAGGCTGGCCTCAAATTTAGATATACCTGCCTCTGGAGTGCTGGGATTAAAGACACGTGACACCACTGCCCCATGTTATGGATAATTTTGATTCAACAGGTAGGTGCTGAGAATCAAACTCAGGTCCTTTGCAAGAGCAGATAGTGTTCTTAACCACTGCAGCATCTCTCAAGCCTGAAAAGTTATCATCATGCCACTTCCATTAACTTATGATTCAGGTACAGCAAGATAGTTCTGAGCTCGGTCCAGAAACCCATGTAAAGGTGGAAGGAGAAACCTGACTCCCCTAGTGGCACCATGGGGCATTTACATGCATATACATATGCAAAAAACCGTTATTAGAAAAGCTGAGTTAATGTTAAGTTTTTAAATGAAAATAAGAACAGGATTACTAGATGTTAACTCTCCAGACCAAAGGAAAACTAAGGAGCCCCAAACCATTGGCAGAAAACTCTACTTACGTGGTTAGCAAGAAGGAGCCTTCACTGCATCTGTCCAGGGCTTTTCGAGCAGCTGGCTTCCCTGAGAACTCAACAATGCCTTTCCCTGAGGGCCTTCCTCGGTCATCCACAATGACCACAGCCCTCTCTACCTGCCCAAAGACAGAAAAGGCTTCTTCCAGCAGTTCGTTGGACACGTACTGAGGAAGGTTGCGGACTGTAAGGGATGCACTATGACAGGCAAAGCGCACGCGCAGCTGCTTTCCACGGAGTGGCATATTATCCAATTCCACTTTGGCAATTTCTGCCAGGGTTCGTGTTTCCTGGGAAAAACAAGAAAATTAGAATTTAACAAAGACCAATTGAGCAGCCAACAACAAAACATACCTCAAAAATCTTGGTGGGTATGGTGGCATATGCCTTTAATTTAGCACTCAGGGGGTAGAGGCAGGAGACTAGGCCAGCCTAGTGTATATATTGGCATACTGAGTTCCAGTGAACGTCATATATATACTTAACAATTCAGGATAGTTAACAGTTCAGAGTATTTTAATTTACACTAACACACCAGAATTACACCTGTCCTAAAAATAATAATAATTTATGTGAATGAATATTCTGACTGTATGTGCGTTAATGCACAATGTGTGTACCTGGTGCCTATGGAGGTCAGAAAAGGGCATCAGATTGCCTGACCAAGGTTATTTAGGCCAGGAGGTGTTGGTGCACACCTTTAATCCCAGCACTCAGGAGGCAGGAGGCAGATCTATCTCTGTGAGCTCTAGGTCAGCCTAGTCTACAAAATGAGTTCCAGGACAGCCGGAGCTACATAGTGACACCTTGCCTTGAACAGCTCCCCTACCCCCACAAAAAAACAAAACAAAACAGAACAAATGCTTCTTTCTCATATACTATTCTTAAATCAAATTCGATTTTTGTTTGTTGAGACTGGGTTTCTCTGTGAATCCCTGTCTGTCCTTGAACTTGCTTTGTAGACCAGGCTGGCTTTGAACCCAGAACTCTCCCTGCCTCTGTCTCCCAAGTGCTGAAACTAAAGGTGTGCACCACCATTGCCTGGCTTAAATCAGATTTTAAACATAAAATCTGCATATAAAAATAGTAGAACTGAAAGTAATGCTGAGTGGCAGCACACTTAACTCACATGCATGAATCTGTATTTGATTCCCAACTGTCTCCCTCAGAAAGAAAATGGATATTCACCTGCCTTAATATTAAAAAGATTTTTGGAAAGATAAAAATAACTTGTCCCCCTCCACCCTAGGGTTTTGAAGAGTAAAACAACACACATCACATACAAGGACTTTGGAGATTCTATAAAGCTTGGTAATCATTAAGATGAACTTCACTTTCACTTAGCCCAAGCATGGTGGTACATACATGTATGTCATCTAGCACTTGGGAAAGAGGTAGGAAGCCTGCAAGTTCAAGGAAACCCAGGCTTTACAATGAGATCTACAGCAAAAAAAATCCCCATATTTAGCACTTGTATTCCAGGCAAATAAACCTATACTAGTTTTCAAGTCTAAGGGAAAATAATTTTTTGCTTTGTACCATTAACTATTAGCATATAGACACTTTTACTGCTTTCTCTTCCATATTCACTCCCAGTCTTCCCTGTTTTTCAAAGCATATGCATCAAAGCTCAGTTACTCACCAAGCGAATAAAGCCAAAACCTTTATCCTTATGAATGAAAACTTCGCCTGCTTTCCCATATTTCTCAAAAAGTTTCCTCATTTCCTCCTCAGTGATGTCAGGTGGAAGATTGCCCACAAAGAGACGGCTTCTTTGGGTGAAGGTCTTCTCTCCTGGTTTCCTAAAGTTCTTCAGATCAATAGTTAAACCTTCATCTAGAAGAGGACAGTCAATTAAAAGGTTAGGAAAAGAATTAGTCATATCCCCAGTAGCGTTTCTGTGAAGAAGACAAATACTACTTCCCAATGCAACCTATCCAACTCATCAGTACATGGCATCTTAGAATGTTAAAGCAGCAGTGGTGGCACATGCCTTTAATCTCACCACTCGGGAAGCAGAGGCAGGAGGAGCTCTGTAAGTTCAAAACCAGCATGGTCTACAAGAGCTATTTCCAGGACAGCCTTCAAAGCCACAGAGAAACCCTGCCTCAAAAAACCAAAAACCTAAGTAAAAAATAGTAATGTGCATATATGCCTGCCTGGATGCATTTATATGCCGATCCCCTGGAACTGAAGCTAGTTACAAGTGGTTGTAATCCACCTGATAGGAGTACCCAGAATGGAACCTAGATCCTCTCCAAAAATAGTATAGCTCTTAACTACTGAGCCACCTCAACAGCCTCTACTTCTATTGCCTCCCCTTTAAAAAAATTACTTGTATGCATGTGTGTGTGTGACCATGTGCCATGTTGTATAAGGGCCCCCACGGAGTCAGAAAAGGATGCTGTATTTCCTGGAACAGGAGTTATAGTTGGTAGTAAGATGCCTTCTGGTGTGGGGACCCTAACTTAAAACCTCTGGAAGAGCAAAAGTGCTCTTCACCACTGAACATTTCTCCAGTCATCCTTACACCATCAGGTTTCTGGTTTGTTTGTTTATATGTTTTTTGAGACAGGGTTTCTCTGTACTGCTTTAGAGCCTGTCCTGGAACTCGCTCTGTAGACCAGGCTGGCCTCGAACTCACAGAGATCTGCCTGCCTCTGCCTCCCAAGTGCTGGGATTGAAGATGTGCGCCACCAATGCCTGGAAGGTTTCTATTCTTATAGGTACAGTTTCCTAAAGGAATGAGAACTTTTTACAGATTAAAAGTGGGCTGGGCATAGACTAGAAACTAAGTCTTATAGTTAACACTCCATTAAGGCTTAAAATTTTCCCTATATTCTCTGATGACTATCTCTAAGACCCAAAGTACACACAGACATTTGTTTGGTAGCAGAACATGCCAATATGATAGTGGAACCTATACTCTATTGATTTCTGCTCCTTTGTTTCAGGTGATCAACCCCCTTCTATCATAAAATACCAATTAAGAACCAAGTAGGAAAAGCTAGAGTTGGCTGAGCAGTCTACCAGAGGACCCAGGTTTGATTTCCAACATCAATGTGGCAGCTGACAACCATCTTTAAAAAAAAAGGGTTGTAAACCCAGAAGATCCAATGTCCTCTTCTGACCTCATGAGTCTCAGGCACAGACATGGGGGAAAATATTCATATACATAAGATGGCTCAGCGGATAAGAGCACTGGTTACTTTTCCAGAGGACCCAGGTTCAATTCTCAGCACCCACATGGCAGTTCATAATTGCCTAGAACTCCAGTTTCATGGGGATCTGACATCCTCATATGGACACACACAGACAAACACCAATGCACATAAAATAGGAATAAATAATTTTTAAAAATGTTATAAAAAACCCCACACAGACTGGGTGGTTGCAGCGCATGGTTTAATCCCAGCACTCGAGAGGCAGAAGCAGGTGGATCTCAATAGAGTTTGAGGTCAGCCTGGTCTATGGAGTGAGTTCCAGGACAGTCAAAGCTACACAGGGAAACCCCTATCTTGAAAATGCTCCCTCCCCCACAAAACAAAGTACCCAAAACTCAGGAGGGAAGCAGAGGCAAGTTTAAGCCAAGAGCCATGGGCTATATGCTGAAACAATATACCCACACCCAAAGCCAGGTAGTGATGGGGACTCTTCTAATCCCAGCACTAAGGAAGCAGATTTGGTCTATAGAGTTAAGTTCCAGGATAGCCAGGGTTGTTACACAGAGAAATCCTGCCTTGATAAAACCAGAAGAAAAAAAGTAAAAACAAAAGTACACTACTAAAGGCCTATTCACTTATAATCCTGAGGGATTTATCTAAAAACCATGAAATCATTCTCAATGGAACCTACCTACGACCACATCATCCACCATCTACTTACTCTGGCTGCTGGCCTGCTGTCCATTTGCAGGTACTGGTGGGGGTGGCTGCTGCTGCTGCTGCTGCTGCTGCTGCTGCTGATGGTGCTGCTGATGGTGATGCTGATGATGCTTCCTTGGAGTGTGGTTCTGCTTCTCCAAATTAAAGGTTTTATTGCTCTGCATGTTTACACCCTATAGGAAAATGTGGAATTTAGGATTTAGTCATTATCTTCCTGATGGTTTACATGCCATTAAATCTATCTTGGTAGTCTATCTTTTGTGTGATTACAACTGGTTTCTCTGAATAATAAAAACAATTTAGGACAGCCTAGGATATTTAAGACCCTATTTCAAAAAAAAAAAGACAGTCCTATTGTGCATTAAAGCACATTTTAAAAACATTACTCCCAGGGCTTATGAGTCAGAGGCAGATAGATCCGAGGTCAAGTGCAGCATGGTCTATAGAGCAAGTTCAAGGACAGCCTGGGCTACACAGGGAAACCAAGTCTTTTTTAGGAGGAGGGGGTCGAGGAAGGGTTTCTCTGTGTCTATGGAGGCTGTCCTGGAACTAGCTCTGGTAGACCAGGCTGGTCTTGAACTCACAAAGATCTGCCTGCCTTTGCCTCCAGGATTAAAGGCGTGTTTTTTCAGAGCTGAGGACTGAACCCAGGGCCTCTACCACTGAGCCAAATCCTCAACTCTGGAAACCAAGCATTAAAAAACCAAAAACAGCTGGGCGTTGGTGGCGTACTCAGGAGGCAGAAGCAATCGGATCTCTGTGAGTGCGAGACCAGCCTGGTCTACAGAGTGAGTTCCAGGACAGCCTCCAAAATAATACAGAGAAACCCTGTCTCAAAAAAAACCCAAAAACCAAAATTGTAAGGAAAGGCAAGATGACTCAGCCTCATGCCACTAAGCTTGATGACCTGAGTTCAATCCCTGGGTTGGTGGAGCAGGCCTTTGGTCCCAGCACTGGGGGAGTCAGAGGCAGGCAGATCTCTGTGAGTCTAAGACCAGCCTGGTCTACAGAGTTCCAGGACAGGCTCCAAAGCTACACAGAGAAACCCCGTCTCAAAAAAACCAAGACTAAAAGTCTGTATGTAACCAATGCTGGTCTTGAATTCGAATCCTATTTCCAGCTCTGAAGTGATTGTTTTATAAGCATGTCCAACCCAACCATGCCTGGCTAAAAAGTTGTCAGTCTCTAAAAAACGGAGGACCGCTGTCCTCAAAGATGATTATCCAGTGAATGAAGATCCCCTAGTCAGCAAAGTTGTCAATAAAAGCAAAAGGTTTACCAGGCGTTGGTGGCGCACGCCTTTAATCCCAGCACTCGGGAGGCAGAGGCAGGCGGATCTCTGTGAGTTCGAAGCCAGGCTGGACCGATAGCCTCCAAAACAATACAGAGAAACCCTGTCTCATAAAAACCAAAAAAAAAAAAAAAAAAAGCAAAAGGTTTCCCCACAGATATTGTTGGTATCACAAGATAACTTTAAAAAAGAAAAATTATTTCCCAAATTGTGACAAATCCTTGACTGTTGGTTTTAGTTGAACACATATAAAAGTTTTTCCATTCTTTTAAATCTGAAGGCTGTTTGAGAAGATAGAAAGTGGACCAGAGTCAGATCAGTGGGTAAAGGTTAACTAACAAGCCAGTCCTGAGTTTGATCCCAGAAACCACATGATGGAAGGGGAAGGAAAAAAAAAAAAAATCAACCCATGAAGTGGTCCCATGACTCTCTACATGAATACCATACCATGGCACACATAAACCCATACATACACATAGTAATTATTTTTAAATCTTAAGACAACATACAAATAAGAGCTATCAAGATGTTTTTACTTTTTCAACTCAGGAACCAGAATCACACTCCTAGACTCAGAAAACTAAAAAGCCAGCCAGGTGATGGTGGTACACGCCTTTAGTCCCAGCACTTGAGGCAGAGGCAGGGACATCTCTGAGTTAAAGCCCAGCCTGATCTACAGAGTGAGGTCCAGGACAGTCAGGACTACACAGAGAAACCCTGTCTCAAGAAAAAAAAAACCCAAAAGAAAGATAACTAAAAAGCCTAAACAAAAAAATCCCATTGAAGCAATACATCAGAAGGTTGAAGGGAAATGATGGAAAGTTCCAGGCCAACCTGGGGGTATAAAGCTAAGACCATATCTTCAAAACCAAACAGCAGGGGACTAGTGGGACAGCTCAGAAGTGTGTGTGTGTGTGTGTGTGTGTTTGAGAAAGGGTGTGGAGCTGGGTGGGTAGAGAGGATCTAGGAGTTGGGGGTAGAGAAAGCATGATCAAAATGTACTGGATGAAAATTTTTTCTTATTTAAAAAAGATATACAGGGCTGGGCGTTGGCGGCGCACGCCTTTAATCCCAGCACGTGGGAGGCAGAGGCAGGCAGATCTCTGTGCCTGGTCTTCAGAGCTAGTTCCAGGACAGCCTCCAAAGCAATACAGAGAAACCCTGTTTCGAAAAACAGCAACTACAGGGGGCTGGAGAGATGACTCAGCGGATAAGAGCACTGGCTGCTCTTCCAGAGGGCCTAGGTTCAATTCCCAGCACCCACATGGCAGCTCACAACTGTCTGTTGTAGTGAGAGTTCCAGGTACCCTTGCCACTGACCACACCCATTTTGGGCATGGCTACAGGTGTATATAGGGTGTGAATAAAAGAATAAAAGAGGTTCTCTTTTCTGGGGTTCTGGTCAGGTCTTAGAAAGCTGCTGAGACTAGCCTGGGTTGCTGGTTTCCTATACCCTCTCCAAGTGTACGATTTAAATTTCCTTATCAGCTGGTCTCTCCCTACAGTCTGTAATCTAGCTCAAAGTGATGACATCTTCATATAGACATAAATGCAGGCAAAACACTTTAGAAATCAGTATGGAGATTCCTCAGGAAAATGGGAATCCGTCTACCACAAGACCTAGCAATTCCACTCTTAGGCATAAACCCAAAAAATGCACATTCATACATTAAGGATATCTGTTCAACTATGTTCACAGCAGCATTATTTGTAATAGCCAAAACCTGGAAGCCACCTAGATAGATGCCCCTCAACTGAGGAGTGGATAGAGAAAATGTGGTACATTTACACAATGGAGTACTATTCAGCAGGAAAAAAAAAACAATGGAATCTTGAAATTTGCAGGCAAATGGATGGCACTAGAAGAAACCATCCTTAGTGAGGTAACCCAGTCACAAAAAGAGAAACATGATATGTACTCACTCATATATGAATTCTAGACATGGATCAGGGAAGTGCCAGCATACAATCCCACTGCCAGAGAGTCTAGGAAAACAACCTTCATCCAGCGACTGATGAAACCAGAGGCAGATACCCACAGATAAACACTGAACTCCTGGAATCCAGTGTCAGAAAGGGAGAACTGATGGGCAAAGGAGTTAAAATTGGGGCTAGTTTAACCCACAAAAAAAAAAAAAACAGTTGCCCTGAACAACTTGGACTCCAGACTGATGGCTATGTGGAAAGCATGGGACTGATCCAGACACCCTGAATGTGGGTGTCAGTGAGGAGGCCTAGGTAATCTATTGGGCCTTGGGTAAAAGATCATTATTTACCCCTGGAGTACAAATAGACTTTGGCTGCCCATCCCACAATAAGGGATGCTCTCTCAGCCTGGACTCTTGGGGGAGGGCCTCACTGTACCTGGGGATCGGAGTGGAGATTGGGTGGGGGACTGCGGGGCCTGGTGGGGAGGGATGTGGAGGAGGGGAGGGAGAGGGAGCTGGGATTGACATGTGAAACAAACTTGTTTCTAAGTTAAATAAAAAAAAAGGGGGGGTTGAAAAGATGGCTCAGAGGTTAAGAGCACTGACTGCTCTTCCAGAGGTCAATTCCCAGAAAGCACATGGCGGCTCACAACCATCTGTAATGAGATCTGGCGCCCTCTTCTGGCATGCATGCAGGCAGAATACTGTATACATAATAAATAAATCTTTAAAAAAAATAAAAAATAAATTAAAAAGAAAAAAGGCAGCCAAAACACTGAAGTATTTTTTTAAACCACAAAACAGCAAAAACCCACAAGCGGTGGTGGCACACGCCTTTAATCCCAGCACTGGGGAGGCAGAGGCAGGTAGATCTCTGAGTTCAAGGCCAGCCTGGTCTACAAAGAGCTAGTTCCAGGACAACCTCCAAAACAATACAAAGAAACCCTGTCTCGAAAAACCAAAAAACCCAGCAAAAACCTGAAAAATTTAAGGCATGGCCATGAAATTACTCACTATGATGGTGGCCTTTATGGAGACAAACAATAAAAATGACTGGATTCCTGAAGTGTTTGTTTTTTAAGACACAGTTTCTGTGTAACAGCCCTAGCTGTTCTGAAACTAGCTCTATAGATCAGGCAGGCCTTGAGCTCACAGAGATCTGCTGCTGGCATTAAAGTCACTGAAGATTATGAGGACTACAGTGTGAGAGGGAGAGAAAAGTGTTCAAGAGATAAATGAATAGTTTACCTCCAAAAATAAAAGGGCCTTCCTTGCTTGTAGACTGATAATTTGTCATTTCACCAATTCATTTAACATATAATGAATGCCTACTATTTGCTAGGTGCTATTCTAGATGGACATATGTTTTTTGCCTTCAGAGCCTACTTTTCTGTGAAAGATAGACACCATAAACAAATTACACAGGACTGAAGAGGTTAAGTGCCAATTAAATACAAAACTAGGAGAGATGAGGCACAAATGGGCTATCAGGGGGGCTGAATATGATTTTTGAACTACCTGACTGAAAAGCTGGCATTTTGGCTTAGATTTGAATTCTCACAACATTTTTCCTCCTCCTCCTTTTTTTTTGTTTTGGGACAGCATTTCCCAGTGTAGCCCTGGCTGTCCTGGAACTCAAAGAGGTCCTCCAGCCTCCCACTGGGATTAAAGGCATACACCACCACACCCCTCTCACATTTCAACCACAATTCTCGGCAATGTTGCAAAGCATCAGAAATTATAATAAACCCCTAGGATCCTTATAGCTGAAGGAAAACTGACTCCTACAAGTTGTCCTGACCTCACATACATATGTACACTGAATTAAAAAAATGGCTCAGGGCCGGGCGGTGGTGGCGCACACCTGTAATCCCAGCACTTGGGAGGCAGAGGCAGGCGGATTGTGAGTTCGAGGCTAGCCTGGCCTACAAGAGCTAGTTCCAGAACAGCCTCC